TAGTAGAAATTTAGGTTGTATTCTTTGCCAGTAAGCCGCTCTTTCGTGTGAAACATTGCTCAGCAAACGCACTCCAACGCAGTTCACAGTTTTGTCATAGCGTTAATCAGTGGAGATGAGCTGTGACTGCACAAGCTACACAATTCACGCGTATTCGTGCGATATTTTGATTGGTTTGCTTTTGTGCATGGTGAATTATGAATCTTAAGTGAATTTATCTCAGAATGACTTCGTTTCGTAAAGTGTCAGACATCAAGCTCGACATTGAGAAGTCAGTGAAACGTGAGGGAACCTTTGATGTTGTGAGGAAGCAAGCGTTTGCAATCGTGAACTCGGATGGATTTCTCGACGAACTTCAGGTTAGATGTTTTACATTCTGCTTCGTTCCATTTCTCACCGTCAGTAATTTGTTTGCATTTGAAATGAGTTCAAAAGTGCTGTGTTTTGTGTTTTACAGTCATTTTTACTTTTTCACCCTTTGTCACGCTATTTCACAGTTAGATGTCTCATAGTTATACGCGTTTAGTTACTTAGTTAAATGCTTATGTACGTTCTTTAGAGAAGAGTGGCTGTCGATATACGAAATATGGTCCGATGTAATCCTGAGCGATTGTCCAAAGAAGATTTGAGAAGCATGATCAGACATCATCTGCGTACCAAGTAAGATCATATATCCAATCTTTACTAAAATGTTTCTACATCTTACTGACTTGCATCAGGTACGTGCCGGAAATATCGGAGAAGGTAAACTCGTCTGTAGACAGGGAATGGTTAAAATCACAGCTGGCTGATAACGTCAAAGAAAAGGTGGGTTTGTCAATTAAGAATTGGGAATTGCATAAATATTATGTAGCGGTTTGCCTTTATATCTTCTGTAATCAATTTAGGTTGTGCTAAAGTTCTGTCGGGCCGTTTATGGAATATTATATTGTCTTGCCATCTCAATGATTTGCGTAGTATCATTGAATGGCGGAAATCATGATTTCTGTAACAGCATTTTTGGCTCCCTCATAGAAGCAAGTTTCTGAGACAGAAGCAAAAAGAAAGAAAGTTTGAAGGCGATTTTTATGGCCAGCCGGGCAG